TTTCAGGATTGTGAACAAAAACTACTACAAAACTGAATGAAATTTGGTATCAAATGTACATCTCTGACATGTTATTTATATCCAAAGTCTATTATAAGGGGAAAAAATTGTTGCCTTTTGCCTTCATGCATGAAAATGTTTATGTCTCAACCTTTAAACTGATGCTGAGAGTTTTGATAATGATTTCAATACAAAAAATGCTGTTGGTGTTGTTTTTTAAGAGTTAGTAAACCAGGCACGGTGCATGCCTGTAATCCCAGCACTCAGGAGACTGAGGAGGATCGCTGCATTGGAGGCCAGGTTGGGCTACACAGTGAGTTCAAAGTTAGATGAACGAGACAGCTAGACCCTGGCATTAAAAAAAGTTGGCAATATTTCCTATAGAATATGGTTTTTTTTTCTCTTTTTTTTTTCTTCTTTTGCTACTTGGGATTAGGTTCTATTTTTAAGACTCACTCAAGAAAAATATAAAAATACACATTTTGCCCAAGTTATAACATTCTTTGATCTGTATAAAAATATGCATTTGTACTTATAATAAAAAGTATTATTTTATTCTTTATTATACAAATGAAGAATTTTATTCTTTATTACACTAAGATAATGCCACCATTCATTAAGGAAAATTCCTCCTTGCCACTATACTCATAGTGGTAAAAGGTTAGCCAGAAGATTATTATTGCTCTCTTGATTATATAAAAGTTCCCTAGTTTCAATGAGGTTTTAAACAGTTCACACCTTAAAAACCAGTCATTTTGTACATCATGTAATCCACGTTTTGATTTTAGAAATTTTAATACATATACCATTTTAACACATATAGCATTTAAAAAGGATCTCAAGAATAAGAGTCATGACTTTTATGAATTTACAATAGAATCTACGTGATGGGACTATATGCAGCTAAAAGCTAAGAAATGTTTGAATCAACTAAATTCCCAAAAGGTAATTCTGATGTTTCACTATCTAGAAGCATAATTTAAAATGTTGGTATGGTCAAAGACCATAGTATTAGGAGATTTATAGGAATGACTGTGTCTCCCTACAAACAGTAAGTACAGTATATTTCACCTCTTTACAGAGGTATTTACAATGTTCAATGACTGAAGCAGGTATTATTACATGGGCAGACTCTACAAATGGCATTCCTCAACCAAGCAACTAGGCATATTATACCCTTGCTCCTACCTCAACTGTTTTTACACAGTGAACCAAATGGTGTCCCAAATGAACAGGCTACCTTAGAAATTCTTTTAATTTGTAGAAATTCTTTTAATTCTATCCAATATTTGAAATCTGCAAAATTCACTTACAAGAAATTTCTATATTAAAATAGTTCTCAGAAAATTAGAGTAAAGGGGCTGGGGATTTAGCTCAGTGGCATAAGCGCCTGCCTTGCAAGCAGGCAGTCGTGAGTTCAATCCCCGGTACCGATAAAAAGGAAAAAGACAAAAAAAAAAAAAAAATTAGAGTAAGTGCTAAAAAAATCACAGTAGCCATTGTAGGTGTCAACATAAAGTTAGATCCTGAAAATCAAAACTTCAGATTCTAGCTTAGTATTCTCAACTTATCTTTATTAAGTAATGAGAATGTGTCATGTGTGTGACAGAATACTAATCAGAACCAGACTACAACATATTAGTGAAGTTCTACATCAGAATATATTTCTGAAATAAATATATAAGCAACTCTGACAATTGCTTATGAAAGCTTACCGAATAGATGGTTTTTAGTTCCTGACATAGGTATGGACTAAATCAAGAAATAGTCAATATACAGCTTTTACATGAAATACGTTAACCATCATACTATCTGTCAGTTGACAATTGATAAGTAAGAGCGTATTCATTAATAAACACAACTATTCATGAATGATAATTTGCAAAAAAATTAAAAATAAATGATAGGTAAGTTTTAGATCCTATAGAGAACAAGAAGACAAAGAAGTAATATCCTGTGAATATTTCCAGAGGTACTTTGATTAAAACTTAATCATTCCACATATAATGCTCATAGAAAGCATGTGGCTTGAGGAAAACAGTAATTAAAAACTAGGCTGATCTCCAGGTGTGGTGGTGCGCACCTATAATCACAACACTTGAGGGACTGAGACAGGTGGATTGTAAGGTTGAGGACACCCTGGTTACATGGAGTTTAAGCCCAGTCTGGATTACCTAGACCCTGTCATACAAAAAAAAAAAAAAAAAAAGCTGATAGTATTTGCAGCCTGCTTTTAAGCCTTTAATCTGTAAGTTATTCTTTGTACACTTGCCTGATTAGAATTTCACTTCTAATAGCTCAGAAGATGCAAAGTTCACATTTCTTCCCCAGGTGGAAAATTCTGGACCACACCTTATATATCTAATCAAGATTCTTTAAAGTAGAGGTGCATGTCAAAATCATTTTAACCTCAAATTAACTTCCTGCCCAAATGTGTCTACTTAAACATATACACAAAAGCATACCTACATATATGTATGTGTGTATATATATATATATATATATAATATATATGAATACAAATTTGAGGAAAAATGGTATTCTTCAGAGAAAATTGCATGTCAGTAAGTGCCAGCTTTTCACTTTTGTACTTTTAACCAAGTAATGCTATTATTTAAGAAAGGATATCTGAATATACTGGAAGACAAATTTGCATTGAAATTCAACTGAAACACAGCAAGATAAAACATTGAAAAACTCTGAAATATACAATAAGACATCAAACTTTAAAATATTACTTTTAAAGTTTTCCTTTAATTCTCTGAAACATTTAAAGCACATTGTTGAGCAGTAAACACTGGAACTGAATAGTTTGAATTCAAACATAAGGAATTTAATTTTTATCAAATATTTTAAGCATTTGACAATTTGACTAAGTCTCTTATCAATACAAACTGATGTTTCTAGTTTTTCTGCAAGAAGTTTAGTTTTATCTGTCTATTCTTGAATAATTGGTAAATCAGTAGAACATGCTTATATTGACTATTCTTCACTGTGAACTAATGGACTGTATTCTAACTTGAAAATGCCAATATCAAAAATGGTATTTGTTGAATGCAAATAGTAATTGCTTTCAGAAATTAACTACTGAAAATTAACTACAAGACACAGTGTGAAGAACAAGAAATCACCATTAAATAATATTTACTTAATACTTTTTTACATTAAAGTATCCAATGACTACTCAATACTCAGGGACAATGCTAGCAACAGAAACATTTATATAAAAATGGGAGGCTTGGTCTATGTGTTTTACTTCTGTTTTATGTTCCTGTGGTTGGTGAATGTTTTAATAAATGTCACTATTATGAATTCCTTATGTTTAACTTATATAATTTATGTGGAATAAATCTAAAAACATTCTCTTTCGTACACTTAGTGTATTCTATATATAATTGTAGAGAAAAATTGTAAGCATAAATCAGTTTTATAAAGTTACTCATAAACTTTTATATTCTTATGATGTGCATTGAAGAAAGCTATAGAAAATGACCGAAAGACAGTTACTGAAGGGTAGCGATGTTCTTTTCCACCCTAAGCACAGAGTAGAAGTGTTCTTTGATGTATGCCTGTCTGGTTTGTTGCTATTTATAAACCCAACTCTTAGGTTCATTACCTTTGCTCAGAGTTGCTCAGTAGATTACACTTTTGCTCGAAGTTTTAAAGACGATGCATATCTATGGCCCCATTTTAAGTTTGTTGCTCCTTTTGGTACGATTAGGAATAAGAACTCAAAAAATTATATCATAATGTTAACTGATACCCATTTACTGAAGTCACATTTCCATAAGAACCACTTCAGCAGCTCAGCTAATCTGTGTATATATTTAGCCTCTACTGTCAGAGGCTTTTGAGAAAACTTTTAATGTAAGATATAATAGACGCTCTCAAATTTGTTAAAACAACACACACCATACATATTCCAACAGTTTCTGAACAAGTAAACTAAAGTGGTATGATAATAAATTATTTAAAATATACACCTTAATTACAGTAAGTAATCTTTAGGAAAAATGTTAACCGCTTTATTTTTTCTATTTCTACTCCCCATTATCTTTCCAATTACCACTTTCAAGTTCTTGGCTTTAAATTAGTCATAAGAAACCCATTTAAGTCAGGGTAACATTTTTCTTTAAAAATATGCGCAGCAAATTATAACCGTTTTAATCTTTTAAAAAAAATGGTTACCAAGCAGCACAGAAAATTTAAGGAATCAAAAAAGTCAGGACACTAAGTTACAATTCAAACTGGCAAAGCACTTCTGCAAAAAAGCATCCACAGCTTCTGCTCACAGATATCCAAATAGATTGTTATTACGTATATAATGGTCAAAAGAAGCATTTTAAAGACCAACAAAATTAGGTCACAGTGAAAACTAACTTTTGCATGCTTTTTTCAAAGCCTGGGATTATTTCACTTCGGACAGTTTTACCAGGTTTCCTTGTTGACCCGAGGTGTTAAATGACCCGGCCTCCGCTTCCCTGCCCCATTTGCGCTGTGACAGAACTCTCTTTGCAAAGAAGGGCAGCTTTGTTAGCAAAGCGGGCTGAGAACACTAACAGTGCACCTGGCAACTTTTCCCAGCTCAGCTGCGTTCTCACAGCCACCTCCCTCACGCACAAGAAAAATGTTGATATTAAAAACGTTTTCCATTTGAAGACAGTGTTCTAAGAGCCTAATTCTCACCACAAGTTCCCTGGAATTGGCAGCTGCGGTCACCTGCAAAGTCCCCGGAGCTGCGAAGGCGGAATCTCAATACTGGCAGCCGCGGGCACCAAGACGCGGGAAGCGAAGAACAACCGGCCCGCGAGTGAGCGCGTGTGGTCGTGAGGACCTCTGCCACCTCCTCCCTGCCACCCCCCGTGACCCCAACGCCTCTCCTATGCACCCCGCGCGCCTAATCCTCCCGCGAGGCCCTCAGACCCCCTTCTCCCCTTCAACAGGTCTCCTCACGTCCTTTCCAGTCTTCGAGACTGCGGACTCCGACCCACAACACTCACGAGAAAAAAGGATCATCCTCAAAGCTGCTGCTTAGCATCCTGAACATTTTGGCTTGGTGTCCAGCAGCGGCGGAAGCGGACAGATTGGAAAACGATGTAACTCGCCGCGGCGGTGTCGGAGTCTGCCTCTCCTCACCTTCGACGCCGCTCGCCACCCGCCGGCCAAGGCGATGCCCGCCGGGAGAGGCGGTGCGTGAGACCTAGCAGCCTTCTTATTGGGTGCTGGTCCCTTGACGTCATCAATTGAGGCGGGAACAGTGCGCCGCTGTCCTGGCAACCGTGGTCAACAACAGCAAGCCTTAAGTTTGGTCTCAGTCCTGCCGCGCAACCTTTCACTAAACCTCCTGAGGGACGGGATAGTTTGCTCTCTGAGCTGCAGAACCAAAACACTAAACCACGCTATTACGTTGGACAAATCTCCCTTGTCCTTGATTCTCAAGTCTCTTTGGGAAAATGGCGGAAGTCATTTGGACTAGATGACAACCAAAGGCTCATTGACCATATTCTCTAACCCACAGGGATGTCTATGTCTGCAACTTCACTAGTAGCTGGTCAAATAATTTTTAAAAAGTGAAAAACATTTTTGTGCAATTTACAAAGTGTATTTAGTTTTTTAAGGAAATGGGATGAAGCCTATTAGATTTCAACAAACGTATTTGCCTTTGGCGAGTATAAAAACCACAAGCAGTGTTTTACAAAGTGGGAAACACTTAAGCAACATGTGGACCTGGGATCAAAAGATAAATGAGGAATTGCCCTCTCTTTCCATGTGTCATTCAAAGATCCCAACTCACTTTGAGGCTGATAAATCTACACCTCCCTCCTTACCCTGACAGCAGGATTCAGGCACAAGGCCTGAAGCAAGCAGCCATATCCAGTGAAAATTCCATAGCTATATATATTGTTTTTATTATGCTTATAAGAACCCTTATTTATGGAAAGGAAATTGGATTTAAATTTAGCTATACAATAACTGCTAGACTTTTACAATGTAAATGCTAATTTAAAGAAATGGTGCATGTGGGATTCGCATGCAGTGGTGATGATGGAGACAGTGATACTCAGATTACTGAATCTTAGAAAGCACTGATGTGGTGTCTTCCAGGAGCCTAGAGACAGGCAGAGAACTAGACAGAAGAAATAGAAGATTAAAGGAGTAGAAGAGTGATGAGGGTGTGAGAAGAGAGAAAGTGCACCTTGTGTGGCCACCCTTACTTCAGCGAGCTCTCTCCACTCTCTAGAGAGCTGTCTTAAGATGAAGGGATCCATGGTCCATCAGGTCGTGAGGGCACTGTGGACTCAGGTCAGAGAAGTGGCCCCCTGCCAATGTGAAGAAGCGTGCAGGGCCTGATTTGGCGGTGCTAGGAGTACTCAGGAGTTATTTTGGGAGCTGGAAATTTAATCTTTTGAACCTTTTACCTCCTACCCCAAGCCCTTTAGCCAAGTTCTCAGTAGCTTCCTTTCCTTGAAACTGGTGGCATGAAATGGCACAGACTCACAGCCTAAGATGACTCAATCCCTTCCAAGTAATATATTCTTTCCTCTGGCCTCAGAATAAAGCTCAAAAACACACACATTAGAAAACTTTGAAAATAATTTCAAGACAAAAGTTGTTTTACAAGACCTGAAATTATTTTCTGTTTAAAATATACAAGAAATTAAGGAGGCCACATGCTGACAACACATTAAAATGAAACAGAGCAAGAATTAATAAGGGCAAGAAGTAAAGAAACTTGTGAGATTTTTTCCCCCCTTTTGTTTAATGGAAAGTTTTCTTAGAATCATATTGTTAAAACATGAAGCTTTAGTTCAGGGGGAAGTAAAGGAGTTGTGGATCTTCTGAAAGCAGTATGGACTTAATGACAAATGATTAAAAAAAAGTTGGAGATGAAGAGGTCTTGGCATCGGTTTTAAATTTGTTGGGTAAAAGAGAGGAAATGAAAGAAAGGATGTCTGGAGAAGATAACATCTCAGCAAGTGAGCAACAGAGACACAGAGCAGGACTAGGGCTGAGGGGAGAGCACCCTTGCTGAAATATAATTTCAGCTAATATTTAGTGGACATGTGCCAGGCACAGCTGTAGCCACATGTGTACATTACTTTATTGAATGCTCACAATGGTTTTATAGGATAGAGGTGCTTTTTATGCCTGCATAGATGCTGCCATGGAGGCATAGAGAAGCTAGGTAAATTGTTAAGGTTAATTTAGTAGTAATTAAAGATGCAAGATGAGGGCTGGGGATTTAGCTCAGCAGCACAAGCACCTGCTTAGCAAGCACAAGATCATGAGTTCCACCCCTGGTACAAAAAAAAAAAAGGCAAGATGAAAGCCTGTATTCATTTCTCAAAATCATGCTGACAAAAAATGAATGGCCCCTAGTTAAAATGTGTAACATTCAGTGGGAATATATTCAAATAAAGTCAATTTGATTTTATAAATATTTATTAAGTGGCTATTCAGTGTTGGGTACTGACACACACTCTGACAATGGTGAACAAAACAGTCAAGGATCTTGCCCTCCCAGAGGGTTGCAATTATAAGTAGAAAATATAATTTAGACCTTACTGAGAAGGCGAATTTGAGTAAACCAAGGAGAAAATGAATGTCTATCAGAATATTCCAGCCCATTGCGGTGATCTAAGGAGGCAACTTCCTGGTGTATATAATGTACCCTTACACACATGTGCCTTGGAATTCACCTTCAGAAAGAGGAATGAGATGAGACAACTAAAGTGAAAATTATCCAGCTGTCTTCCCAGTCTTCTCGCTGTAGCAACTGGCTGCAGCTAGGTGAGAACATGAGAAAATAGAGACAAAAGTTGGGATCAGGTGGAGCCCTTATTCTCCTGATGTTAGAGAAGGACTGCTCAATGATTGTAGCTTGTTTATTTATGTACTCAATACACTCCAAAGAAGATTGTCAATTTCAACTCCACTGCCTAGCAACTTGTTTGCCTGGCTGGCTGGGGCCCCTTGCCTTCTTGGGACTGAACAACTTGTTTACATGGCTTGTTTTGGGCTTTCTGAGTTTTCAGGGCTGATATTGCTTTAGCCCCACACATGTAATCAATCTCCAGCTTAAACTGCACCCTACACCTATCAATTTTGAATTATATCCTTTTGACATATGGGGGAATGATGTAGAGCAAGTAACTTATCCATAAGAGCATAAGTCCTAAGGTCCGCCAACTCCCTGTCAGTAATGACTAGTTCTTATGACATCTTTGCTCAAATTAGAAAAAGACGCCTCTCTCAAATACTTCCTTTAATGAGAAGATTTAACAAACATACTGTTTGTTGGAAATTGGATTTAAATTTAAATCCAAGCCCTGGATCTGAAGGAAAATGGATTTAAATTTAAATGAAAGCCCTGGATCTGAAGGAAAATGCTCCGCATTGAACAGTTTGAAAGGCAACTTGTTTGTTAATGCCAGTGGGCTGGGAGACTGAGTCTGAGTTCAAATAATCAGCCCAGAGTCTGCTTAGCATTCAATTTAAATAACGTTTAGCAAGCAGGTAGTACAAAGCTGATCGCAGGTTATTACATGATTGGTTACATGTATTAAGTCATACGTTGCCAAGCATATTTGTTTTAAACAGGTTAACTTATAAGGAATTGTTTATTATCTAAGGCAGAAACATCCTGGGAGGCAAGGAGGAGGGTGTGAGTGGAGCAAGTAGAGAAAGGTGTCCTTGACTGGCCAGTCTGTCCCTGACATGAAGTCCTTGAAGCCAGTTAGAGAAACTCTATTTCTCTAGGCAGGAAAACACAGCCATTGCAGCTGGACGCAGTCAGGTTGACCTGGCACATTGTCTGGGAGAAGCAGTGAATGCAGACAGTCAAGGCTAACTAAGTTTAGCAGTCTAACCATGTGACAAGCAACATGAATATCATCACAGGCCATTAACCAATTTTTAACTTTTGCCACAAAATGTCTGTAAGTTCGCCATCTGAAACTTCGCCCTTACAATATAAGCGTACAATGTGTACAACTGGACTGGTGCTCTCTGGGAATTTGTAGACTTGTCCATGTTAGCCCCACTCTCAAACCTAAATTCTTTCTACAACATAGGAGCGAATGAATGTGAAGCTCCATCCCCAAATTCATAGGCAAGAAAGGTAATTTTTTTCTTTGCGGTTGAACTGAATTTACGTTCTGAGCTCCCATTCCATTGGGAATGATCTCCCTTCCACTCCCAGGGAAGAAGGGCAATGCCAAGGTGTAGCTGGTAGCCATCGGTACTGCATTCTCGACGGTGTCTTTATTCTCTCACTGAATTGAGCCAGAGACCTAAACATCTAGTCGTCTGTGGCCCGGTCTGGCACTAAGAAGGATTGCCTCACCCTGACCAATAGTATTCTTCTACCTTTGAAAAACACACTCTCGAGAGAAGGTGTTTTTGCCCATGAAATAAAAGGAAAGTGAGTTCACAAAGGGATTATTTTCCAGTACTGGGGACTGAATCCTGAGCTTTTGCACGGATCTTCAATTCAAACCCTTTTTTATTTTTTACTTTCAGAGGGTCGATCTTGTGATCCTCCTGCCTCATTGTTCTGCAGGGTTGGAATTATAGGCATGCACAACCCAGCTCAGATGAAGTTTTTTAAAGACAAGCTGTGTACACCCAGCTGGCCTCGAATTCACTATGTAACCTAAGCTGGCCTCAAACTTGCAATCTTTCTGCTTCAGCCTCCCAAATGCTGGGACACAAAGGAAACACTCAAATGTTAATTTTTTTTCCTTTTTGATGCTTCCCATTGGTGATAGTGAAAGGAAAACTACAATTTCAAATAAAATCCTACCAAAAAAGTTGCCAAGACTAAGCGTACATGTCCTGACCAATATGATGATAAAACATTCCTTCCTTTGTGTAAGCCTGTCTAACAGATGGCCTTAAAATGTAACTTGAAATGTTCCTTTGTGTGACCCCATCTTTACTGTCTTTGTATAACTGGTGACCTTGCAATGTAACTTAAAATATAATGGGACATTCCTTCTTCTATATAACCCATGCTTTGTATAGCTGATGGCCTTACAATGTAACCTAAAATATTTAAGCCTCCTTAGCAACCCAAGATGTCACCCAACCTTCCAATCATAATGCACTGAGTCTGCTCTTTACCTTCCCCTGTCTTTCCTCATAAAAACCCTGAAATCCTACTGGGTGAGGCTGAGTCTGGGAGAAATCCCAGTTAAACCTACTG